CTCTGGCAGCTGGATGATAGACCTTGGCAGGGGAAGGGGCTGCTGAACCTTCTCGATGGGATGAGGGGGAACCTGAAGCCCTGGAGGGAAAAGGGACACAGTCTGTGAGACAGAGGCAGCAAACAGGCCTGGATGGGACAGGTGTTCAAAGTTCAAATGAAAGGATGGGATTTCTGGACCATGGCCTTAGGAGGATAAGGAGGGTACAACTCCAGCTCCCTCTACTGAGCACTGACCATGAGCCAGGCATGGAGCTGGAAGCCCCTACAGATCGTCACAGCCCTGTGAGATGATCCTGGTACTGTCCCATTTCACAGATGAGGGAACTGAGGCTAAAGAGGAGCAGAGACTAGACAGACAGATACCCAGGTGTTCTAACTCCCAGGCCAGTGTCCCTTCCCATCTCTGGGTTGTTGTCAGAAAAGGGAGAGGGGCCTGTGGCCTGGTGGTAGCTGGGGGTCTTCCCTGTGGGAGGTGGAGAGTGAGTTCCCCAGCTTCTCTTCCAAGAGGCAGTCACAGTGATTTGGGCTAACTGCTGAGGCTGTGGCATCAGCCAGTGCTGGCTTCCTGGCCAGGCCTACTCCCGACTTGCTGTGTGATCCTCCATAAGAGACTTTACCTCTCTGAGTCTCAGTTTCCTCATCTGTGAAATGGGGTCACAGTAGCCCCCACTTCCTGGAGTTGTTGGGAAGACGAAAGGAGCAAATGATGACCCGGGCCAGTACACTATGGCCTCAGCAAACCCTGGTGGTTGTTGCTGAGGGATGGGGGTGGTTCAGGCCAGGAGCAGACTGGCACAGGCCAGGAAAACCCCAGGGCAGGCACGTGGTGTGAAACCTGGGAGTCCCAGCCATGACGAGTCCCTGTTGCCGTGGTGGAGGGGCCTTGTCAGTGCCAGGCTAGCCCTGCCGTTGGCCCAGTTGCCAGGGCAGTTGCCGCATCCCTGAGAGGATGAATGGGGCTCAGTGTGGGGGCTCAGTGTGGCGGCTCCGCTGAGTTCAGAGCCCTCTTTGTGCTGCCTCAAGTGGCCGTTGGGAGTGTGGCTGGGGACCTGCTGGTGGGTGGCTGTCCCCCAGGCCCTCCTCAGCCATTGCTGGAGGCCAGCCCAGCCCCACTCTGCAGCACTGAACACACAAGTGCTTTCCCACCTCCAGGCCTTTGCTTGGGCCGGACCTGCACTCGGAATGCCACTTGTCCCTCCACTGGCTCTATCTTTTGCCTCCAATGAGTCCCTGAGGTCTGATTGAGCCATAGTGCCCCAGGAACCCTGCTCTGATTTCTGTCCCCTCCCTCCTTGCCCTCCTCCCCCCAAGTCTATGTCACAGTCGTCTGCAATCTGACCAGGTACTATCAGGGACTGGAGGCTTTCAATGTAATAGTCAAAGGTGTTGGACCCAGGCAAACCTGAGTTCAGACCCCACCTCGGGCAAGTCACACCAACTCGCTGAGCTTCATTTTTCTCATCAGTAAAACTGGACAAATACAACATCCCTCACAATATCCTGTGGCAATGAAATAACACGTTTATACTGAGAGTTATCATCTGTATTACATTCATTTTTGTCTTTATATGCATGTTCCAAACAGACCTCATGCTCCGCTGAGAGAACTGGCCTCATGCATCCATACTGGCCTCAGGCCTGCTATACTGTAGCACTCAGTAGATACCTTTCCCCAGCTTGACTCAGTTGTCTTATATTGGGGGACAAAGAGACCTGGCTTTGAATCCCAGCTCCATACCTCCCTCGCTGCATGGCCTTTGGCAGGACACTTCACCACTCTGAACCTGTTTCTTCTTCTGTAACTTTGGCCCCATAATAACAACTTCCTAAGAGGGCTGCTATGAAGTTCTAGGGGTCTGACATATAACAACATGGGGCCGGGCACAGTCAGTACCCAGCCGGTGTGGGCAGAATGTCCATGGGATTGCAGGGCTGTGGTCATCACACAGCCACTCTCTGTCCTGTATCCCCCTATCCAGTGACCCCTTGTCTCCCCAGACAGACCGGCAGCCAAGAGCACCCCAGCCCACGAGCCTTTCTTCTTCTCTCAATATGCCCCGTACCCTGTTCCTACTCGGGGGAGGAAAACAGAAGGTCCAGGCCAGGGTCAAACAGCTGGCCAGTGGCTCCCTTTCCTACTCTGTGCCTCAGTTTCCCTAACTGCTAAATGGCAGCAGGACCAGAGGCTCTCTCAGAGCCTGGTCAGTCAATCAGCAAACATTCCTGAGTATTGGCCACATGCCCTGTTTTGCCAGCTTAGCTGATCACGGAAACAGGAAACATTTCCCTCAAACCAGCAAATCAGAAGTCAAAGTCAGTGAGAAATTGCCTCTGGCTAGGACCTAATTTCTTCTCACTTTCACCTGGGCAACCTTCTGAAGGGTTTCTGACTGCTCCCGCCTGCATTCCTCCCCAAGGAAGGGCTGAGGGCCTGAGGCCCGGAGGGGAAGTGACTGGAGATGTCAGGGTTCAGGCCAGGGATGGTGGGGTGGAGGAGGTGACACCACCGGAACTTTTGCTGAGGCCTCTGCCCACAGGATGTGACTTAGGGAGGGCTCATGAGAAACAAGTAGGGGCCCCAGCCTGAGAGTCTGATGGTGGAAGCCACACAAGCCCACGGCAGACCTACCCCCTCCAATGCTACTATCCCCTCCCACACCTCCCACCGGCATCCAAGGTACCCAGACAGTGGTGCTGTGACAAGACTGTGCCCTAACTCCACCCTCAGCCCAGATGGGTGGGGTCCTGACACGGGTAATTGCTTGGGGTTGGCATGAGACTGACCTGGTTCAAATACAAGTATGGCAACTGGCCAGCTATTTGACCCTGGCCAATGATGGCACTTCCGAATTTCAGTCCTTCTGAGTATAACAGAGGTAATAATAGTGTAATATTGCTGAGTGAGAATTGAGATAATTCCCATAAAGTGCGAAGCGTACAGCTTGGACCATTTATTTTCCCTTGATAAATTGTACTTACTACAATTGTTATTTTCTCCCTCCTTGCCCTCCCCACCCCCAGTTTAGCCAATGGCCACTCTGCTTCTAATAGTGTGCCCAAGAAGCTGACCCCAGATCGCTCCCTGACATGCCTCAAACCCCTGCTGGTCTACACTGCCTTCGGGAGAGTGCTCTCCACTCCTCATCTGACCCTCAAGACCTTCCCTGGTAGTGTCCCCCATGGCAGGACAGGGCCTCTTGGGACACCAGGATCACCAGACCCATTCCTGACTGCTCCTACAAGGAAGCCTCAAGGCCAAGCCATGTGAGCTAAGAGGTGGAGAGCAACCGGGGAAAGGTACTGGGGTGCAATCAGAGAGCACAGCCCCGAAGGCAGGGAGGCCCAGGGGGTAGGAAGCAGTGTGACCACAACCTACGAGGGAAGATGGAAAGAGCCTCAAATGTCACAATTTTGTTTTTCCTGAAGACAGTGGAGGGAAATACATACAGACTCCACTTCAGAATGATCTGGCGGGTGCTCCGAGGGGGACAGATGGAGAGGGCAGACTGGGGAGGACAGGACTCAGGATCCATTGGCAGAGGACTGGAGAGGAGGGGCAGATTGAAGAGGTGCAGAGGAGTTGGAAAGACAGCCTTGTTGGGGGCTGGCTTTTGAGTAGGGCTGGAGGAAGAAAGAGGAGGCTCCTGGAGCCAGAAAGGTATCAGAAAGATGCTGGGGAAGGGCCAGGGTAGGGAAAGGGGGCACAGGACCAGAGAAGGAGATGGGTGAATGGTGGGCCTTGGTCCTGGCACATAAGGACAACAGGCCTCAAACAGCACGACTGCTGTCCTCCTGGACAGACTGTAAATAGCCTGAGTCAAGAGAATCCTCTTCAGACTCAGACAAGGTTCGAGTCCCAGCTTTGTCACTGTGTGACCTTGAGCAAATGACCTCACCTCTCTGAGCCTCAATGTGCTCTTCTGTAAAATTGGTTAGTGATCCTAACTATGGGGCTGTTGA